GTCAAACATTATGATTCTGTCTCCCCTCCCCCTCTCTCACCCACCCAGTCCCACCCTTTCAAAATAAAAGCCCCACAAATACAAGATTGAATCCAAGAGTATGAATCTAAAATGCAGAAAAGAGAGTAGCGCTATCTCAATTGAACCTGAATGACACTACTGGTAACACTGGCGTGTGTATATATATATATTGCGATGTCTTCGGACAGTAGAAGCCACACTATCAAAATTTCTTTCGGAATTTTCTAGTTATTACTTTCTCTGCTCTCATCTCTTTCCTGACGTTAGTTTTGTTTACATTTCAGCCCTGTTTGTATTTCCATAAATCATCTCATCTTCATTCTACACATACATTTAGTTATTTTTGCAGAATGAAGCTAAAGTGGAAATCCAGGGTTCATACACATTTTGACCAATGGATTTCCATGACTTTTCACCAAATTTCCATGACCAAACATTTTGTGAAATCTCAGTGTATACATGAAAAAGTGAGAAAATGTAGTATTTAAACTAACAATGAGAATTCCAAAGCATCCAGTATACCTTAAATGACACAAACGAATGAGAGACAATCGTTTGATTAAAAGAATAAACATTTATAAATATACTCTGGTTGACACTGACATCAATAAGAGCTTTAGTAGGTAGTAGCATCCAGCTAGTGCACATATTGCTTTCCCTTTTGTCGTGCAACGTTTTCATTGAACCGTTACTGTACGGCTTAATATTAACTTCCACTGTACAGCTGTTGGAATTGTGGCCTATCTTCTATTTGCAATAAATATGCATTCAATCCAGTTCAATTATTTAAATGAAAATGATAATCTACTCTGGCTATGGTAGTTTATCAAGAGTAAAATAATAGCTGTGATCTATACACACCTCTGCATTAGCAACCTGCTGAAATGAAGGTACAGGCACCTTAACCCTCTCAGTACTTCAGGGTTCTTGAGAGCAACGTGGGACTGTTGGGACTGTTGGTACACTGGCTGTGGTCATTACAGTGAACATGTCTGTCAGTGTGATGAGAGGACATGTGAGCCCTTGTTGCTGTACTTTATCTCCTTGGAGCAGAGGCCACATTTAGCATACCCTGCCTTATTATCAATGTATTTACAATACTGTGACAGCAGGAAGCTGTATTCACGTCTGTTTAGACCTCCACCTTTATCCAGGCCCAGCTCCACCTTTATCCAGGCCCAGCTCCACCTTTATCCAGGCCCAGCTCCACCTTTATCCAGGCCCAGCTCCACTCACAGCTCAGCCCTGCATCAAGCTGCGCTACACAAACAGCCTCCTCTCCCTGAAGCTCTCTGACCTCATCATCTCATCAGTATCTGGGCCTCATGTTTCGTGGTCATGAAAGTTATTCTGACCATGAAATCATCCTCTTTCTACTTTGAGTTAAACAAAACAACCTGCAACCAGATGCGCCGGTGTTCGGGGTTTAACGTTAATGAGTGACCGCGTGAACTGAACTGGAACACGGGGGGGACTTCATGTTTCATCACGTTACGTTTTTTTCTTTCTAACTCGCGATAATGACGAACGTTAACAGTCGACAAAGTTCCGCATGCAGTGGACGTTAACTTAACCCAGCAAGTCTGAACTGTAACGGAACATAACGTAACTTAAACTTTAACGGAGCGAAATGAAGACGCTGTAGACATCTGAACGCTGATTAGCCAAGACTCGACACATCAAAGATGTTCTATTGTGAAGATCACAACATCACATTTTCTCCTCGTCTCACTCCAATCTGAGAAACGCTGGTTGACAACTCACCGTAAATGAACGACATTAAAATATGAATATAACACATTTCCATGACTTTCCAAAACTTTTGGGATTTTATTTTTTTCCAATAACCATTTTAAAATTCCATGACTTTTCCAGGTTTTACATGACCATACGAACCCTGGAAATCCTTCATTCTGCTTTCAGCCAATCAGAGCCAAGGATCTCAGTGATTCTTAAACTCACGGTCACTTTAAACCAAACTAGTTATTTAGAACTGAACTTCAAAATAATGACACATTAAATCTCTCTCTGTTCACGATATGATTTTGTAATGCTGTCCGAACGAGAATTGTTATAGCCTGTGATGTCAAAGTATCCCACAATGCATTGTGAAAAGTAGAGTACTACCAGTGGTCACCAACAGAGCAATATGTCCCATCATGCATTGCACTGATAGAAAAAATAGCAAATCCATGAGCTGTGGCATGGAAATAATATATCTGATGTGCAGCAACACAGACTTTTGTAAAATGTATTTATTTATGGAAAATAGGCTTATTATTCACAACGACAGCACATACTGCTTTACTCTTTCAGTTTTTACCTTTCACAATAAAAGTCATACACATACAGTGTACACAGCATCACTGCTTACCAGGGAGAACTTAAATTAACTCATTCACTAAAAGGCAACTCAATAAAATAGATTACAATATGTAATTATTTAACTGAATATGTGTTAAAAAAATAAATAGTCTCACCCAGAAGACGTCGTAGACAAACAGCCCCCCCAGCAGGATGCAGCCGGTACTGACGTTGTTCAGGTGGAGCAGCTCCACTCCATTCAGGGCAAACGCCAAACCAAACAGGTTATTGGCTATCCAGTGCTGTGATGTCACAGAACACAGACAGGTTATTGGCTATCCAGTGCTGTGACATCATAGAAACAGTACTTGTGGTCAGAAAAACACAAATATGACATCAGCTCTCTGCCTGTCTGTGACATCATCAGGACAGTTAATAATAATAACAGCCGATGATGTTCAACCCTTAACTCTCCTGTGAACTGGTGAGACGTTACCTTTTTCACCAGGTACCAGACTCCCACCACGGTGCTGATGATCAGACAAATCAGGTTCTTGGTGTCAAACTCATAGTTCACTATTTCTGCAGAGAGACGGAGAGATTGATGTTATTGGTCAGCACACTAAATCTTTGTCACTTTTCTTTCAGGGGAAAATTGAAAATTTATCTGCAAGTTCATAACGAAACGTTGATTATTACATTACAAGACGTTCTCTCACTCAAACAAATCTCAAAGTTGTTCCAAATGTTTTTAATGTGGCTCCTCCACGGATTATTTTGGACTTGCAGATGTTACAAATTGGGAGCTTCACGTCTTCTTCCACACAGACTACATGACATAACAGTCAGTTGGGCGATTGATCAGTGCAGATGTAATCAGCAGCAGAAGATGTGACGATAAAACACAACGTCTCCTCAGTAAACAGGCTCTCTCACCTTCTCTGGACTCTTCGGAGCCCTGAGTGAAGAGCAGCTGGTACTGTTTGTTTGAGAAAGACTCTGGAAAGATTCTGGACATCAGAGGACTGAGAGACAGAAACAAGAGCAAAGAGTTAATCACGACAGCTATGTCACGACACCTGCGTCGCGACACCATATCGCGACACCTGCGTCGCGACACCATATCGCGACACCTGCGTCGCGACACCATATCGCGACACCTGCGTCGCGACATATTATCGCGACACCTGCGTCGCGACATATTATCGCGACACCTGTGTCACGATACGATATTATCACGATATTATCGCGACGCCTGTGTCGCGACAATATCGCGACACCTGTGTCGCGACATTATCGCGACACCTGTGTCGCGATACGATATTATCACGATATTATCGCGACGCCTGTGTCACGATACGATATTATCACGATATCGCGACGCCTGTGTCACGATACGATATTATCACGATATTATCGCGACGCCTAAGTCACGATATTATCGCGACGCCCAAGTCGCGATACGATATTATCACGACACCAAAGTGCCGATACGATATTATCACGACACCTAAGTCACGATACGATATTATCATGACACCTAAGTCACGATACGATATTATCATGACACCTAAGTCACGATACGATATTATCACGACACGATATCACGACACCTAAGTCGCGATACGATATTGCAATAAGTCACAATACGATATCACGACACTGTTATTCTGCACTATAGACATGTTCTAGTTCTCTCTACTTCTATCATGGTGGTTCTGTTTCTATAGAGGAGCAGAACTTTATGTTACAGAGAACATCAAGACCACAGAGAGAAACATGAAGGAGCGAAAGACGCCCCTAAACTGCTTAGGTGTTCAGAGGGTTAATCGAGGTCGACAGCAAAACCCTTTTTCACACTTTCTGATGGTAAAAAACTAGAAACATTTCTAAAATGCTCCCACAGTGTGTGTTGGTTCCCTCTGAAATGTTTACAGCAACTTCAGGTGAGTGGCAAGACTCTCTCTGTCTTAAACACATATTGATACAAAACATCAAAATATCACGATTCCATGCTGTGTTGATTTTTACCACCCACCCGTACAATGAATTGACATTGCTTGTTTTTGGTATTTCTCTTCTCCTACATCAGTGTGTTGCTTTACCTCATGGTGTGAGACAGAGCCAGGACGCCCAGGCCGAAGAAGTAGACCGACAGCAGCATGTTGATGTACTCTTGTGAGAATACCTGCATCAGAACACACGTCACACGTTACTCTGATTGTTGTGGACGCGTTCGTCCAAACTCTCTCTGCATGAGGCCCCTGGAGTAAGGGTGAGGAAACCCTGTTACCTTGAAGAAGAGGTAGAGCCCAAACAGAGTACAGCTGGCGATGATGGGAAACCTCGCTGCGTCTCGACCGGTGATCGTTTCAGGCATGTCTGATGCATTCTGGGAGGAGAGATAAATACAGAGAGCTAAGTGTGTCACTCTAGAGAGAGGGATGTTGTTGCTTTCAGTGTTAAGGTTAAAAAAACGAGTTACCTCAAAACAATACAAACTCCATATCAGTCAGTTAAACTAAGAAACAGACTAAGTTCAATCCTGATATGAGCACAAACTAGAACCTCCAGGTCTCTAGAGTTAAGTCAAAGCTTCATGTGTTGAAGCTGCATTCTCTCTAGCGTCCACCAGGGGGCAACTCCTCTGGTTGTATAGAAGTCTATGAGAAAATGACTCTACTTCTCTCTTGATTTATTACCTCAGTAAACATTGTAAACATGAGTTTATGGTCTCAATCTCTAGTTTCAAGTCTTCTTCAATACAGCATGATGTTCATTTAGTAAATTATGGTCCATTTAGAGTCACACAGACCATAAAGCAGAGTATGCTTTAGGGCGGGGCTACACAGTGATTGACAGGTCTCTACCAGAGACGTATACGGTGTCTCTATGTCACTCCTTTTTTAGCTTTTGGAACCATCATTCCTATCGGTAATAATAACACTCACTATGCAGGAAATATTCAGTTTTATTCTGAAATAAGGACAATCATCCTACTAATCTGTTTACACGACTAATTACTTATTGAAAAAGGTCGGCGTTGAGATATAAAAAAAAAAAAAACAACAGACTGTTGGTATCCACGTCCTTCATAATGTAACAGTAGGTGTGTTTCTCCACACAGACAGAGCTGATCGTAAACAGCAGAGAGACAAGTGTGCTACAAACTGCATTAAAAACCTCATTCTGAATGAGCCGTACACATGCTCAAAGATGATAAAACAGGATTATCAGCATGTCACAGGTGTCTTAATCAGAATAAAACCTGAGTGTGACATTTACGCAACACTCCATGGTGAGATATGTGTAGCCACAATACGTCAGGACAGCGCAGGGAACAAATGCAGATCGTTAGGGTCAGAAGTCTCCTCAAATCAATCACAACAGTCTGAAGAAGAACGAGAATAAAAGCAGGCAGAGTCACTTCAATTCAACACTCGACTCCCAGAGAGTCTCCTCCTATATATTCTCCTCCTTCTACTCCCCCCAGAGAGAGAAAGTGGGACAGTGGAGAGGAGGAAAGAAACAGATGTGAGAAATGATAAAAGGAAAGAGGAGACAAGGACAGAAGGAGGAAGAGGATCCTTGCTGCAGCACTAAAAAGGAGAGCACTGTCTTCAATTACTTGTTCTGTCAAACCCTCGTGAATTATGTGACACACCAGTAAAAATACAGGTTTGTGTTTGAAAACTGCCTCAAATAGTTTAAACGAACTATAAAGTATGAGTGAAATATCTGTTTCTTTAGATGCTAAACACTCCACTACCTGAGCATGTAGTGAACAGAGTACCTGAGCAGGTAGTGAACAGAGTACCTGAGCA